CCATGACTTCATATAGTTCCGTTTTATTTCGTTATCAATATATACAAATATGCTTTCAAAATATTTTAGAAGATTTTAAAAGTTGTAAATACGTCAAACAGAAATTTAATTCATTCTATCTTTTGCGGTATATATCACAGGATTATTAAATAAAAGTATTAAATAGTTTCGAAGTCTTACTGGAATCCTAAACTTGGCGGCATATTTCGATAAATAAGGAAAAAATTCATTCTTGAAAATGAAACAACTATATGACGCTGCAAGAGCATTGGATTTGATTGGACTACTGAAAATGGAGCGTGTTACGCTGATTAGTCCGATAAGGAGTTTTTACATTTGTACAAGAAACAATATTTATGATTCATTCCTCGGTTTCTTTAAATGCCAATAGAAAGACGGTTATTTATAATTACGTATATTACGAATATTGTGAAAGACGTGTATTACGATTTTTAGATATCATTTTTATTAATTCTAATAACTTGTAAATTTGTTATTCAATTAAGTTTTGATATCCTCATTTTTCACGATTTAAGAAAGCAAGCAAAAGGAAGACTGTGCCACGTCGTTTCAAGAGTTTGCGATATTGATATACGTTCGCGTTGGGTGCTTGGTATCTATTTGGCGTACAGTTAGATGCAAACAGGCTCTCCCCATGGGATAATAGATTTTTCTTAACTTGCAACAGAATTTAATTATTGCAGAACATTGCGTGCACCTGCTCAGTTGCCTCAGAATATGCGAACGTAAGGTCGTCGGGCTACCGAAGCGGGGGTGCCATCCCCTCTGCAGAGGATCAAAATTGTGATGGCATGTCTTCGGATCATCCTCAGGGATGTTTCCCAGACCGTCGCCAATAGCCCATTGTGCAGCTCTAGTGCGACGAAAATGAAGAACAACAACAATGCGAACGCATAACTTCCGTATTTGTATAATTTCCCAAACGATCCGATCATTACAGTTTGTTCTATTACTATAGTATAGCTCAATATTACATATATCCTACCAATTTCAGTTACATTAAAATTTTTGTGCGATCTTAATTGAAACTCTAAAAATGTCAATTTGATAAATCAGGAAGCATGAAATTATGAAAAAAAACTGGCACTAATTTATGCATATCATGAAAAAAAAGCTTTATTTTTTAAATTTAAAAAATTAAAATTTATTTTATAATTACATGATTCACAATTTAGATGAGTAATTTGAAATTATCTATATGGCATACTATTAGTACGTCCTTCTAAGGGGTCTGTGTGATTTTGATTTCATTAAAAAAGCATCAACTTTAATTTTCAGTTTCTAAAATTTAACTAAGATTTAGAAATCTTTATTGTTGTTTAACATAAGCACAGATATTATTTGAATTAAAACATTATTGTAAAACATGGCAAAGAGCTTTAAGAATTTATTTTTCTATGGAGTTAAAATTTGAAGGGGAAAAAAAGCTATATTATGACATTTTGCGATCGCGATAAAAGCAAAAGAAAAATAATGATGTCAATGACTTGAAATAATTTTTAATAAACAGGTAAACATGCTCTTTTTAAAACCGTGATAGTTCTTAAAAATTGATGAATGAAAAGTATTTTTTTAAATTGAGAGAAAAAAAAATTTATTTTTTGGAATTATAATTTTTTTTTAAAAAATTATTATTTCGATCAACAAAAAAAAAAAACACATTTACCAATATTCAAGTGCTAGTATGAATTTAAGCAACATGCTGTACTCAAACCAATGACATCTAAGTTTATACTTAATTGATTTTAATTAAAAGCTGTGAAATCTCGTGTTCCAAATGAAAAAATCTGAACTCCGAAAAACAGATTTAAAGGCAAAACTTAGAATTAATAATTTAAAACAAAATTTGGAAAATGGAAGTGATTTTCTGTTTTCAGTGAATGGGATTCCAGCAATATTTTTTTTTTTTTTTTTTTTTTTTTTTTTTTTTTTTTTTTTTTTTTTTTTTTTTTTTTTTTTTTTTTTTTTTTTTTT